ATGGGCACCAGTGACCCACGCGACCCTGAAAAGGAAGAAGCGTGTACAGAAAATGGATGGATGGATGGATAATAATAATAATAATAATAATAATAAACTCTCGGGGAAAAAAAGGCGAGAGGTCTGGAATTAAAACATAAAAAGCAAACCATTAGAAATTACCGGTAAAGTTCAGAGGAATACGGTTCATTTAACTGACCTTATTTTGGTAGTTTTCTTTAACCGTTTCTGGTCCAACAAAAAGTCTCATTCATCATCCTCCGGCTCACTGAAACCGTCGAAATCCTCCTCTTCAGTGTCGGAGTTAAACAAGCTGCGTCACACAGCTGTACCTGTTCAGTTTCTGTGTCGCAGTCCTCCCGGGCTGGCTCTGAAGCTGTGGTGCCCGCTTCACGTACTGTAGCAGTCCAGCCTTTCGGAACGCATTTGTGATGGTGGACTCGTTCACTCTGCTCCACACTGTTAGAATCCACGGGCAGTCATCAGGAAATGTCGCCTTTGCATTCGGCCAGTTTTTGTGAATGATTTATCCCYGTCAGTCAGCTGCTGGGAAAGCCCTCCCGCTCCAGCATACGTCACTGCATGGGATTCATTCCCCGGGGAGTGCAATGCCGAAAAAAATAGTCAGCAGCATTTCACTCGATGTTTATCCACAAACTGGTCCTGGATCAAGCTCTAAAGTTTTTATCAGTCAGATTCCACCGTGAAAAATGTCTGTTTTATCTCCTTTTATGAGTTTTTGGCCATTGACAATCTTTATATCGCTGCTTCCTGGTCAACAGTCGGCTCTGGAAGGATAGCTTTTTTCTTTTTTTCTTCTTTTTTTGAAACATGGTTGAAGCAAATGGCGCATAAGAGCCCCCTGGTGGCTGAAGAAAAAAAATACACATATAAGTTGCACCAGACTATAAGCCGCATGGTTCAAAGTTCAGGAAAAAAGTCGCGGCTTATAGTCCAAAAAATACGGTACTTGTATTTACAAGATGACACGGAACACCCCAAGTGTGTGTCAGGAAACATTTTTCAACTGCATTTCTGAATGTAACATAACTCTGACTCCTGCAGCAAAGGCATGGGGTGAAAGATGAGCCTATTCTAAGTGTTAAGCTTAAAAAAACAAAGCTTTTTAGATCAAAATCGACTCCAGTCATCATGTGTCTTATAACTGCAACATACAGTGCTTAGAATTATTTCACTAGCAAGGACCACACCATGGTAAGAGTTAAAAATTTTATTGAAGGAAAGGGGTCAAAGGATAGTGGAGATGAAGGAAGGGGTCGAAGGGTAGTGGGATGAATGATGAGGCATCTGGGGAGGTACGTCAAAGGAGCCTTGAGGAGAAGACTCAGAGTGGGGCATAGTCTCCAGGAAGGATGCTTTCCTGAGCCTGCTTTGGACCCCCCAGCTGGAACCTGAAAAGGAATGGATTAGGAGGTAGTTTGAGGTAGGGATGGAGGAGAAAGAAAGCAGAAATAGAGGGATGAAGGGATAAAGGGATGAGGAAGGGATGAAGGGATGAGGGGGGATGGAGGGATGAAGGGATGAGGGATGGATGAAGGGACAAGGGAGGGAGGAAGGGATGAGGGAGGGATGAAGGGATGAGGGATGGATAAAGGGACGAGGGAGGGATGAAGGAACGAGGGAGGGATGAAGGGATGAGGGAGGGATGAAGGGACGAGGGGAGGGATAAAGGGACGAAGGAGGGATGAAGGGACGAGGGAGGATGAAGGGAGGAAGGGATGAGGGAAGGGTGAAGGGACAAAGGGATGAGGAAGGGATGAAGGGAGAGAAGAAGGTGACACAATGAGGCCTAACAGAGGGGCTTAAGTGGGGTGAAAGGGGAGGGTGGGTGTCGAGACAGCGAGCTAAGGGCAGACACCAGGTGAGGCGAGTTTAAATAGACGACGACTGATAGCTGCAAGTGAGAGGCGTGGTCCTGCTCCCGAACCTAATTTAATGTCTTAACTTCATTTCACTAGCAAGGACCACACCATGGTAAGAGTTTAAAAAATTTATTGAAGGAAAGGGGTCGAAGGGTAGTGGGGATGAAGGGTAGTGGGATGAATGATGAGGCGTCTGGGGAGGTACGTCGAAGGAGGCTTGAGGAGAAGACTCAGAGTGGGGCATAGTCTCCAGGAAGGATGCTTTCCTGAGCTTGCTTCGGACCCCCAAAAGTATCAGGGATGAAATGCCCCGAGTCGAGAGTGCGCATGATAAAGTTTAAGGGGATGATCGCGGATGTAAGTGCGGTATGCTTGGGACGACCAGCGACCTGGGATCTGAATAACGTGGTTGGGGATCCCTGAATAGGAAGCTGAAGAGGCAGCTCCTATGCGAAATGAGTGGATGGAATAAAGGGCTGGAGAGATGCCTGATTTGCTCAGGACTTGATGGAAGTGTTTGGCKAACCAGAAACGGGTGGCCTGGCAGCCGGATTCTGTAATGAACAGAGGGTCGAGGGGAGAAGCTTTAGCTCTAATGTGAGTTTGCACGTAATGGGTGAGAGGTTCGTAGGGGCTGAGAAAGGAGCTGAGACGAAAGATGTGAATAGGAAAAGAAGTTCTGAGCTGGTCGATTTAATTTTCCTGAGGTTGTAAATCAAGGTGTCCTGACAGAGGAAAGAAATGTCTGAGAGACACGGGTGGATGGAAGGGTCATGTTCGGAGGCAGAAGGGGTTAATTCGGAGCAGTGAAGGAAACCGATGAAAGCCAACAGAAACATGCATTGTGGTGTAAGATCTACGAACGGAGACGTATGGCCGGAGCGCAGGGTGAGGATGCAGCATGTGAGGAGATCGGTGGTGAGTGGAAGACGGTGTGGGAGTGAAGGGGGCTCCTGCTTTTTAAGTCATTTGAGCAGCATGGCTACGTGGCTGTGGCTAAGGGCTGGACAGGAGTTGCCTGTGGCCAGCTTAAAGAAAAAAATTGATACCTGAAAGGTAGGTTCGGATGGTGGAAATGCGAATTCGAAGAATGGAATGTGAATGGGTGATGAAATGACAGATGGACATGGTATGGAGAGTGGGAAAAGGTAAATTGTACGTTACGTGGTATGATTTGATGCTGAGCCAGCCTGTCAGATATGCCGAGAGGGTACGAAGGGCGAGGCTGTTGAGGATGGCTTGTTGTGAAACGTGGGAGAGGCCAGCAAGCTGCGGAGTCACTTGAAGATTGTGGCTGAAAACGGAGGGACCGGTGTCGGATGAGGGTCTGCTGTAGGCACCAATGCCCTGAATTTCTGAAAGGAGAAACGAGAGAACACGTCAGCAATGCGGTTATGATAGCCTAGAATGTGAGCTGCCCTGAGCAGAAACTGATGTTGAGCTGAAACTAGAGTAAGTCTGCGCATGAGTTGCACGATGACTAAGGAATGAGAACGACCTTTGTTAATTAATTTGACTACAGCTGTGTTATCGGAATGGATGAAGATGGAGTGCTGGGACCATTCGTGCCCCCAAAGGAGAGCTGCGATGACAATGTGATACAGCTCATACAAAGCAGAAGAGGGAGAGGCCGAATCTGGTTGCAGGGAGTCAACCTCCAGGGGCCAAGTGGAGGCAAACCATCTGCCTTTGTGAAAACCGCCGAACCCAATGGAAGGGGTGGCATCTGTGTAGAGGTGAATGTCGTCTGGATGGGAGATTAAATCATTGTAAAAGAAAGAGATGCCATTCCAGGAAGATAGAAAATGGTGCCAGAGCTTCATTTCCATCCTGCAGGCACCGTCAAGGGTAAGACGACCATGGAGTGATAGGACGCTGGCAGCGGTGGATAAAAGATGGGAAATGAAAGATTTCCCCTGGGGGATGATGCGGATGGCATAATTTAGGTGGCCGAGAAGAGACAACAGCTGATATTTGGTGCAGGAATCTATGAGCATGAAGTTAGAGAGGATCAGGGTGATGCGATGCACTTTCTCGGGAGGTAGGGAAGCCTGAAAGTCTAGGGTGATGCCTAAAAACTCCAATGAAGTAAGAAGACCGATTGTCTTTTTTTCGGAAAGAGGAACGCCTAGATCTGAAAAGGCATGGGTGAGAGTGCAGAGCCCTGAGCAAGGTGAAGAGGAGGGAGGGGTGATGATAAGAAAGTCATATAGAAGGTGGAGAACGTAAGGGAGCCTGAAATTATTAAAAAGGATCCAGCAAAGAGCTTTGGACAGTGAATCAAAAATCTTGGGGCTACTTCGGCAGCCGAAGGTGAGCCGAACTGCAAAGTAGTAAGTGCCCTTCCAATACACGCCAAAAAAAGCACCAGAAGTCTGGGTGAATGGGCAAGACCTTGAAAGTGTTAGTAATGTCCGCCTTTGACAGCCAGGCTCCCCTGCCCGCCAGATGAATGAGGCAGATGGCGTGGTCGACGGTAGCGTATTGCATAAAAAAGTCTAAGAAAGGGATGAGACTATTAATGCTTGGCACGTGGGACCCGTGAGGGGTGGATAATTCAATGATCAGCCTCTTCTTGCCTGAGTATTTTCGGGTGGCAATGCCAATGGGGCTGACACGAAAGACGGAGAAGGGGGGATGGCTGAAGGGACCAATCATGAATCGGTCCTGGACTTCTTTAGCTAAGAGAGCATCAACTATGTCTGGCTCAGAGAGGGCAAACTGAAGGTTGCCGCAGTGCTGGCTCAGAGAGGGCGGACTGAAGGTTGCCGCAGTGGGTGGTGCGATCTGGGAGGGTCACTAGACCCGGGTGAAAACTAAAAGTGAAGCCATGAATAAGAAACTCAACGAAATCCCGATCAGGATAGTGTTTTAAGGTGGAGAGTAGAGCACTCACCTTAATGGGCGTGGCCAGGTGGCGTGCTAGTCAGGTGGAGTTGTGTGGACAGGAGGACCGGGTGTGAGCACCGCCGCAGAAGAAGCAGGTGTGCAGAAATCTGCAACTAGAAACAGAGCAGCCCAGGTAGTTGAAGTTGTTGCACACCATGCGGCCGTCTTGGTAGAGGATGGGGCGGCCGTGTTTGTCGATGCCCCCGGGGGGAGGGGCAATGGGCCTGCGCTTAACAGGAAGGGACTTGGGGATCGGGGGAGGGGGTGGGGCGGTAGGAGACAAACGTTCAAAAACAGAAGGGCCACGTGTGGCAGAGGACCGAGAACGGAGGGGCATGATAATAGTGCAGGCGGTGGCGGGGTGTGAAGGAGCACCACAGAAACTGCATGTAATGGAAGCTCGAGCGGCAAAGACACGGCAATAGAGCTCTGAGTCCAGAGCATCCCAAAAGGTCCCCTGGTTAAACTGGGCTAACCGACCTGCTGCCTGAGTGGCAAAAAGGACATGATACTCATAAAAGGCCGTGCCTCCGAAACGGAGTGCCATATCGAGCACGATGGAAAGACAACCGTCGAGCTCTGAATGGCGGTCAGGGAAAAGGGAACAAATTGTGTCCCTAAAGAGTGAGAAGGCCAAAGCCAACTCAGCTGGGGTGAGTTCCTTGGAATGGGAGACTGAGGGGTGGCCTAGTTGCTTGGGCCCCTGGTTAGTTAGCAGCTCGCGAGGCAGGCCGGAGTGGCTGAGGGAAGGCTGAAGGAGTAAGGCCAAATCAACATAACTGCCATTCAGAATCTGCTGGCACTGAGCAGGGGAAACTGGGGAGGGGCGAGTCAGGATTGGGGGGGTGGCAAAGTGGGGGTACAGCTGTGGATAGAGAGTAGTGGTTAGAATGATGGCAAGGAACATAGGATGTCGGGAGAAGGGGATTGGGGAAGGATAAGGAGAGAAATGAAGGCACAGGAGGTGTAAAAGGGGGCCCCAAGATGGCCGGTCGTTGAGCCGGGGCTGCAGATGATAAAGGTAGGGATGAAGGAGGTGGATGAGGAGCTTGAATGTGCTCACTAGAAAAGGGGAGGGGAGCGGAAAAGGGTTGAGAAAGAGATGGGAGGGAAGAAAAAGAGACAGGGGATGAAGGGATGAATGAACGGAGGGGATGAGTGAGGCCTGACCGGCCTGGGGTTGAACGACAGGGTCAACGTGGGTGGGTTGGGATGAGGAGGGTAAAAAAAGAGAAGGTACAGAAATGACAGTGGGTGATACGATCTGACTCCCACTAGGGGGAGCTGTTGGCGCTGGCATGGACCCGGTTGGAGTTGGGGCTGTGACGTCACCACTGAAGACGGACGCAGAAGTAGTCTGGTGAGTGGGTTGTAGCTGGATCGTTGGAGCTGGGTGCCGATTTTTGGATGGCTGAGCTGTAGAAGAACATTGAAGATGAGTTGAGGTGAGCAGCTGAAAGAGGGTGGACTTGGAGGAAGAACAGTTGAAAGGAATTCCTCTGTCCTGCAATGTGCTATGGAGCTCTGCTGTGGTCCATCCAGCGGGGGTGAGGCGGCTTGTGGGTGCGGATGAGGAACGCCGTGCCCAGGTGGGTGCACCGGGTCAGGGAGAAGCGGGATGAAGAGGCCGACTGGAGCGGCGGAGGAGCCCGCTACCATGGGGCTCGGCCTCGGACTGAGGAGTGGCGAAGGGTGGAGGCGCTGGAGTTGATGTGGGTTGAGAGGAGGATGGGTGCAGTGGGTAGGGCTGTGAGAGGGCACGCCAGTGAGGGATCTGCCTGATGACAGAAGGTGGGGGAACTTTGCAGGGCGGTTGGAAGCTGAAAAGGGGGTCGTCCGAATCGGAGGAATCGGGATCCCGAAAGAGGACGTCCGTTGAGAAACTCTGTCTTTTCTTTCTTTTCTGAAAACGCTTACGCGGTACGAATGTGTGTCAAGACAGCGAACTAAGGGCAGACGCCAGGTGAGGCGAGTTTAAATAGATGACGACTGATTGCTGCAGATGAGAGGCGTGGTCCTGCTCCCGAACCTAAGTTAATGTCTTAACTTCATTTCATGCATAACCGCAAGTGACAGAAACATGTCCGTCCATCCGTCCGTTTTCTTCCACTTATCTGGGATTGGGTTGCCGGGGCAGCAACCTAAGCTAAGAGACCCAGACTTCCTTCTCCCCAGCCACTTGGGCCAGCTCATCCGGGGGAATCCCAAGGCGTTCCCAGGCCAGCCGAGAAACAGTCCCTTCAGCGTGTCCTGGGTCTTCCTCTGGGCCTCCTCCCAGTGGGACGTGCCCGGAACACCTCACCAGGGAGGCGTCCAGGAGGCATCCTAACCAGATGCACAAGCTACCTCAACTGACTCGTCTCGATGTGGAGGAGCAGCGGCTCTGCTCTGAGTCCCTCCCGGATGACTGAGCTGCTCACCCTATCTCTAACCCCGGATTTATACTGCATGCATCTCCGCTACGCTCCGCTCCACTGTGCAGGTCGCAGCTGTGCGTTTCAAGTCCAGTTTACACCACCTCCGCTCCGCTCCGGTCCAACAGACGTGCAGGAAGCAGATCGCGCGATAAATTGAGTGATAAATGTGGAAGTCACAGCAAAAAATAATTAATTCTGTGAAAGACGAACTCCAAACACAGCTAAAAACAAGGATTTAAAGGCTTTTGATATCTATGTTGAAACTGTCTCGCTGTCGGCTTTGTGAAACTTCTGATTTCAAAATAAAATCCACGTGTATCGTGTGTGTTCACATATGCTTCATGCTACATGTTTCCATCAGCTTCCCAAACAGAACAATACATTCTGACAGCATTTGTGTAGAAATATATCCGTATATTTATTAATATAGCTGCAATTTCGACATTATTCCGACAAATTATTCCGCCGACTTATGTCTTATTTTGAAAATACGGATGTTGTGCTCGTGTCTTTTCCTGTTGGTGCGACGTAATCTTTAAAAATTGACTCCGGCGCTGCTCCAGCATCTGGCAAAAATAGGATCTGTTCTATATTTGACAGATCGCCGTCTGCTCACCGCCGCCCTGCGCAGCTGTGCGCAGCCAGTGTAAACACTCTCATTGATAATAATGGGTGTGTATTTGCTGCGGAAATTGGACTGGAGCGGAGATGGAACGCAAGTAATGTAAATTGGGGGTAAGGGAGAGCCCAGACACCCTACGAAGGAAACTCATTTGCTGCTTGTATCCGCGATCTCATTCTTTCGTTCACTACCTAAAGCTCCTGACCATAGATGAGGGTAGGAACCTAGACCGACTGGTAAGCTGAGAGCTTYGCCTTCTGGCTCAGCTCTCGCTTCACCATGACAGATCCGTACAGCACTCGCATCACTGCAGAAAACGCACCAATGCGCTTGTCGATCTCCCACTCCATTCTTCCTCATTTGTGAACAAGACCCCGAGATACTTAAACTCCTCCACTTGAGGCAGGACCACCTCCCCGTTCCGGAGAAGGCACCCTACCAGTTTCCGGCTCAAGACCATGGTCTCGGACTTGGAGACAGCGATCCTCATCCCAGCCGCTTCACACTGGGCTGCGAACCACTCCAGTGAGAGCTGGAGATCACGACCTAATGAAGCCAATAGGATATCATCCCCAAAAAGCAGAGACATGATCCTAAGGTCACCAAAACGGATCCCTTGAACACCTTGGCTGCACCTAAAAATTCTGTTCATAAAAATTATGAACAGAATCGGTGACAAAGGGCAACCTTGGCCGAGTCCAACTCGCATTGGAAACGAGTCCGAGTTACTACCGGCAATGCAGACCAGATCTGGCACCATTCGAACAGGGACCAAACAGCCCATATCAACGGGCCAGGTAACCTATACTCCCGAAGTGCTCCCCTCAGGAGTCCCTGAGGGACACGGTCGAATGCCTTCTCTAAGTCCACAAAACATGTGTAGACCCCTAGATAAAATTATGAAAGAAGCGTTTGATGCTGCAGATGTGTTTTTCCGTTAATTTAAAAATAAAAGTTAGATTGTTGCTGCTATAAAGACATGCAGTTGTCCACCAGGATGGATGGATGTGTCCAAATTCATGTCCATGTTTCAGTCTGGAGTGCTCTGGGTTGGAAATTAGGTTTTGACTCTGCAAAATGACATTGGGATCAAATACAGAGCAACAAGTCGCATGGATGGAGAGTTCTGGAGTCCGCTTTCTCTCACATGAAAATCATCAAGTCCAACAACAGATCCACAAAGACTGGTGATCATCTGGAGACCTGCTTACACCTCAACCAAGTCATACTGCCTACCTATGAGACCCTGGCCTCCTCTCAGTGTCAGAAGTCCCACTAAGGTAGACATACATTTTTTACATTTTTTATTTATACATTATTTTTATATAGCTTGCAGACGGGGTGGTGGTCCCCCTTTTTAAATAGGGGGACCACCACCCCTGTCTGCCAATCCAGGGGAACTGCCCCTGATGTCAATGCAATATTGTGGAGTCGCCTTAAGGAACTCCGGGCGAATCTCATCCAGCCCCGGCGCCTTGCCACCGAGGAGATTTTTAACTACCTCAGTGACCTCGGCACCAGAGATTGGAGAGTCTGACCCAGGGTCCTCAGGCTCTGCTTCCTCATGGGAAGACGTGTTGGTAGCAGGGCTTAAAATTCTCCGTCACTACGACGGATTTCCTTCATTTTGAACGTGCCCAAGACGGATTTCCGTCATCTGTAAAAATGACAGGAAAAAATACATGGGTTGTTTTCTGTTCTCGTTGAAGCCGTTCGATCTACAGGATTGAATGGGCGATGCTTTCAATAAAAACACATGAACCCCTCATATTTATCCAATGAAAGCAGAGCAGGGCGGGTCTTCTGAGGCCGGGGGCCAATGACGTGTATACCTCACTGCCCCGGGCAGACTGTGAAGGTGAAACCACACCAATAAGCCTACAGCTCATGTCGGGAGCAGGGATGAGCTCCTCTCCTCCTCACCTGCACTAAACATGAGGCACTTCTTTCCGATGGCGCAGATGTGTCGGAAATAGACAAAAAGGAAAAAAATTAATGGAGGTGGGCTTGGCTAACCGAAGTTGGGGAAGATGAAAAACCATTCAGTTCATGGTGTAAAAAACTCAGACTGCTG